AATTGAGCCGATCAAAAAATACATAAAGAATAGAGCGCTGAAATTATTTACGAAAACTGACAGGCTTATGCAGATTAAAGGTCAGTTATTGCTTAGTCTGATGAAGTGATAAACAATAAACCAGTCAAGGCGTAGAGAGGGGTTATGAAGAAATCTCGTAGTTAATAGAGAGTAAAAGTGCTCAAGTCCATTGACTCAACTATCCTCAACATAATAATAACATACAGTTTAATAATAATTTTATCAGTAAATGGTAAACAATTAAATTGCAATTAAATTATTTATATAAAAAATATAAGTATTAAATTTAAAGTTTAATCACTTTTACTTTTATAGAAGAAACATACCCGAATTCATAAGATCAGTTAATTATCATTTTCTTCATATTTTTCAAACTAAATGACAAACTTGTTTAGAAATGCATAAATTTTGTAATTTCATTCATTCATTCGTTCATTTTATTTGTCAAAAAAATCCATGAACTTTAATTAACATTGTTATGGCAACTTTGTTTTAATGTCTTAAATCAAATTTGACCCAGAGACCTGCAACACCCACCAAAGCATTTCAAACAAAATGAACATTAAAATTATTTTTATTGCTGCCAACCCTGGCGCAGTGCAATTAAATATGAAATTCCAAGCAAAATGGCAGAGTGAGTAATTAAAAATTCAGAAAAAATGCTTATGAAAATAAAAGAAATTAATTTTAGCTTCATGGCCGGAAGTGAATGCACATAAGGCAAGGTGCATCATTAGCACCATAAGGTAGCAACTTAGTTAAGTGGAATAATGTGCAACACTGGAACAGGCCGGTCCGTGCGATGTGCCTGTAACAATTTGAATAACGCGGCGTGAATGGAAAATTTGTGGCAAAAAGTTATGGGAATAAATAAAATTACAATGTTAAATTCCAAAAGGAAAGTTTACTCCAATTTCAGTTGCAACTGCATCTGCAACTGAGTCCAGTTAATTATTTATTTTGTTACAAAACTCAAATGAAGGATTTAATTATGCGAATAGAGCTGTTGTAGTTGTTCTATGTTTGGAAGTTGAAATGTGTCTGAAACTGAAAATAATTAAATTAAACAATTTCAGTAAAATTATTTACATTTTAAAATAGTTTTTATATTTATTCTTCTCTTTTGTTGATACTAAGCATGAACATACTATAAGTTCAATATAAAAAAATAAATTTAATTTGATATCAAAATGTCAAATTACACTCAACTGACTTAAAAGTCATAACGATATATGTTTCTTTATATGAGCTAGAATAAAGTGCTTGATCTACACTGACCAGGATGCCATAAATGTAAGCAACACCTTATAGAGAAATATAGACCTCATGGTGGAATACGTCCAGAAATAGAAGATTAAAATAAGCAATGACAAAACCAAAGCTATATTCATAACAAGAATGAGAAGGCAGCATCGTCCAGGAGTCAGTGTCGGTGGCACAGAGATACGGGGGAAGCAAAGCATAAAATATCTGGGGGTCACTTTTGACAAACGGTTTAATTGGTATAAACATATGAAATGTAAACGAAATAGTTGCTCTAAAATTCCACATCTTCTAAAGTTGCTGTTTAATAACAACCGCTTCAACATCAAAAGTAGAGAGTTATTATAACATACGAGTATACTCAAATAATTAGGCCAGCACTACTGTACGGATGTGTAACATCCGGCTTTAAGAAGACTAATTAAGATTCCCTGGTATATTTAAACTACAGACATACATAGAGATCTAAGGATCGAATCAGTGAAAAAATATATCAAGGTCAAAACCCTAAAATTTATCACAAAAGTCGGTACGTTGTCCAAATCCACACTAACAAACCACCTCAGAACGCACAGCAAGATATGCTAATCTACGGTATGTCATCAGTTAAAAAATAAATAAATGATAATAATTCTAGTATAGTTAAAGCTTAGTGTGAAGCAGGGATAGGCCCCCCAGCCACAAAAGAGTAAAAGTGCGCATTAGCACCAACTCAAACCACAACAACAACAATAATAGTAAAGCAGTCACAGATATAATAAGATCTCATAGTTCGAACCAGTAAACACACTTGTCTATCCTACGGTCAAAAAATACATAAGGGACATAGCCCTGCAGCTATTCGCGAAATCCGACAGATTACCCTACTTATCATTATCTAATCTCAAAATTATCTCTAGCCGCGCGGGGCGGTACGGAAATCTTAGATCAATCATCAAATAATTACGAAGCTTTTGAGAAATACTTTAATTAGTCATAGAGAAGGGTGGGACTCTGCAGAAACCCCCAACTATCAAAGAGTAAAAATGCCCAGATGCATTAACTCGAAAAGGACTCAGCATGAACTCAACGGTGAGGTCCACATAATTTCAGAAAATTTACCAACATGCCTTATCAGGCTGACATTATAATTTTTTCTAGCGGTGGCAAGCATAATAGCTTTAAAAGTACCTACAGTGCTCGCAACAAAATAACTGTTAGAATAACTCCGATTGATGTTCATGTTATTAACTATTATAAGAAATTATGTTTATATTAGTTTATATTTAAAAATGCCTTTTCGCTGACTACATTTATTCCAAGTAATACACACATTGTTTTCTAACATCAATAGCATTGGTTTTTTTATATACCTTACTTAAATTAGTTTCAAATATACTTTCCGTTTCTAAGAACATCCAAGCGAAATTCTCTTAATTCCTTAATTCTCACTACCAATTCAAGCCCTCCACATTTACCAACATTTACTATTACTGCAACTGTCCCGTTAAACTATAGGACCATTTACTACGTAACAGCTTGAACAAATTAAAGGACCACAATTGAAAATTCTCAAGTCATCAACTTTATCGGCATGAGTTGACGTTTGTATGCTGCTGGCCGAGGGCAATAAATTTAAGTTGACCGTTGTACGGTTTCTCAGCATTTGCATTATAAGTTTACCACTTCACTTACCATTCATATACAATGGACGCATTCCGACACAATCACACAAACCCTCACATATCTTCGTACAAAAGTACAACCCAAAGTGCATTGGGGTTTGTTTGGGTGTGAATGGGTTTGAACGATTGAAAATGCGTACCCACAATTGCTTATTATTATCCTTTTTGCTGTCCCTCACACCGCAACTGCTTAACCATTATTATTATCATACTCATCATGATTCATTTGCAGCAATTCATCGATCCATTATTTTATCCTTTTAGTATTGCTTCCTTAGCACCAAAGCATTTTATGTGAAATTTAAATTGATGCCGCTTTTGTTGAGGCATAGCGCAAATTTCTGTGGTTGCGGATTGAAATCGAGCGAGTAAAAGGATTTGTTATCAAGTAGTCGTATACATATATGAAATACCATTGAACCATTGTGACTATATATATGCTCTATTATGCCCCTAGTTATACTTAATTCTAATTGTATTCATTATTATGCGTTATTGTTTATGAGTGAAGATATTTCAAAAAAGCACTCCAATCACATTATACCGAAAAATTATAAAAAATATATTGATGAATATATAAAGTACTTATATTTTAAACTATGTACGAGTATATATTTTAATATAACATATACATTTGTGTTAAATTAATTCGTTTCATTAAATAAACTTTTATACCAAAATCACCGACTTTGTAGTGCATATATAACCTAATCATTGTAATCTTGAAGTTATGTCTCGAACCGCTGATATGTAAGCTTGAAAACCCCGCATTTTAAAACGAACCATCGTTTCAGAGTATCGAGCCACCGAACCGACCCAAGCCATTTATATGGTTCTTAACTCTATTTAACTGACTTCAAAAGTAGACAATTCATAAAATTTAATAAAAATGAGGAAGAATATATAACGTATTTCATACCCTTTATAACTTCTTGTGGAAGTAAGAAAAAATCTCGATTTTTAAGGGCCTAAAACATTTCAACAACTCTTCTTGGTTTTGATAATTCGGAATTGAAATATTTGATGTGTTCTTCTGCCATTAAGTCGTAATATGGCTTTATTAAATAAGGTGAAAACCTAAATGCGGAAACACCGATTACCAGAACCAGAACACATATATCATTAATGGTATAATGATAAAGCTTGTGCTTGCCGTCTGGCTTGTGCTTGTATCTGGTGCAATTGTATAAAAACTTGCGCTCGAAAAAACGGATTCTTTCCATCTGGTCAGAGGTGATAGCAGACCAAACTGGAATAGTTAGCACAACACCAAGATATTTTAGCTTGTCCACAAATTGAATGAGGGTATTACCAAGCTCTGGCTTGATGTGAAATTCATCAAAACTTCTGGAGCGATCACACTTTTGGCCTAGAAAACCTGTGACAGAGATCTTGGTGGGGTTGAGCTTTATCTTCCACCTCACAATATAAACGCACTGTAATACTAATAATAATACAGCATATACTTTGTAAGGACATATTTTTATTTAAAACATTTTAACCCATGTCATATTTTCTTTAACCACAAAATGTAAACGTGCTAAAAATGTAAGCACGTTTACGTGCTTATTTTCGTTTGTACTGTGTAAATTTCTATTTGTATTATTTGTCTTAAAGACTAAAATCGTAAAAAAAAGTTTAAAATTTTCTTACGGTCTTTGTACATATATGAAAAATGTATTTTTCAATTTTTGTTTTGAATATGTAAAGGATATATTAATTACTACAAAAAATAATAACTACATACTGAATTTAAAATTATATGTATATTTACACAGATAAGTCAAAGTAATTACAATCTTTCTTTTGAGACAGATTGTATAAAACTATCGTACTTATTTTTATTGATACTGTACTTTATCGGTTCAAATTTTAATTTTTGCACAGTAATTCTTTTTTAACATTATTTTCAATATATATAAAACAGTTTCAATATACAAATTATTCATATAACCTTTTTTTAATGTATATGACTTATATTAAATACGTTCCAAATACAATATACACATATTACTAGTGTAAATGTATTTCATTTTGAATTGCATGAATTTCCAATAAACATAGCTTCTCTGACAACAGCTGTATTTTAACATTTTGTCGGATTATTTATGCAATGCGTGGAACATTTTACACAAACTTGTTTTCAATCGAGCTCGGGACACATCACTTTCGTCCGTCGTGCGGTTTTGGTTGTGTGAAATACGCGCGGTGCATTTACTTTATCGCAAATAACTTTATAAAAAGTAAAAAAAGAGCAAGTGGCACAAGAAAAAAAGGAAATAATTAAATTGTGTTTTTTGATTAGTAAAAATTCTTTAGCGTATAACAAAAAAGCCAATACAACAAATTTTGTGCTTACGTATATTAAGCAAATTCATAATTTCTCTAAAGTTTATGAGAATAAAAGCAAATATTTGCTAAATTTAAGCATAGAAGAGAAAACTGATAACTGCAAATTTTTAAACGTCATTAATTTTCCTATTCTCTTTAAGACGTTATTTCGTAAAATAAAAATCAAAAAGGAAGTTTTTTTTTTTTTGCAAATTTTGTTATTTCAAGAATCGCACGTGAATGGCGAAGCAATATCAACCCATACCAATGGATAATCCCGCCATAAATCGTAACAGTGACGTTTCCAATGATGATGCTGACCATAGTTCGGTGGAAGGTGGTGGTGGCTTGCCATCGACACATTCATCACAACAATTAGTAGGATCTGAAAGTAGTGATAATTCTGATGTCAGAATTATGAATGCAACTAGAAATACAAATCGTTTCCTGCGTGTAACCCACTCGGCCGCATTTACAGTAGGCGTACTCTGCTTTGTCAATTTAATAAATTACATGGACCGATTTACAATAGCCGGTAAGTTTTATATTGTTTGAAGTGTTTTTAAAAATAAATTTATTAAATATTACGACATTGTTTAAAATAAAATTTATTTAAAATTTTTTTTTTTAAATACTTGCTTACTTATTTTCTTATGCAAGTGTTTATGTATTTTATAAAAATAAAAAAATATATTATATTTTTATATTATGATTTCTCCACATTGGAATTTATTAAAATTCCTATAAAAGTGTCTTAATACCGATGTAGTCAAAAATTCCTAACATCAATGTGGCAAAAATGTCTAACGCTTGAGCAAATGCAATCCTTAACACCAGTGTTGCCTAACATTATTGTGTATTTTAATCTAATGCTTCATACTGAATTTTCTCACAACACTAACATTAGTGTTGTTTATACCACATACCCCTAAATTCTAAAATAAAAAAAAGAAAATAATATTCGATTTGACATATTTATGGTCAGTGCATGACTGCACACGAAGCACCGTCAAAACAAAACCAAAGTGAGAACGTTAGCTCTTGATTTATAGTTGCACATAAGTAACAACCATGCCATCTTCTATGACTTTAAACGCTCTTTAATGTCAAATGCTTTAAAACAATGTCCTTGTAATAAAAATCAATATATATTAATATAATTCTCCCCACATATAAAAATAATTTAAATACTAAGAGTTTTAGGTCAAAAGAAATCTATTTATTGTGAATCTCATTTATTTACTAATTTCCCATGTCAGTCAAAAATTGTATAAATACACCACATTCTATAAAAAAAAGTACTTAGTGTTGATAACAGACTCCCAACAAATACTCTATTCTTCCAGATCTACAATTTTTGAACACCTCTATAGTACATTATCAGTACAATAACTGCCATTTGAACAAAAGAAGAATATTATAGTCAATTTCATTAAAAAAAAAAAGGGCACTGAAAAATAATAAATTACACAAAAAAATATTTAAAACCATTTTTGTTATTCCATTACTATCCTTTTTTTTATCATAGATGAAGTATAATGATAATTAAAATATCGATTATAAATAATTACATATATATATAACGACAAACGACAGATAAAACGTCTTTAGGTGCAAATAAGTCAAAATAGAATTAATATTTCAAAGTGCAGCCATAATAATGCTCAGCCGTAATGAAGAAGTCAAACCGTCTTCAAAACGTCGACGATATCTATATAGAGAACTAATTAAAAATAAATAACTGCAAAACTTTTATTTTATTCACATAAACCCTTTCCAAAAAAACAGAAACATTTAAAAAACTCAACTCGCAACTATTCCAAAACTAATAACGCTTTCAATAATGACTCATTTAGGTTTATATTCGAACTGTCATTTTATGATCGAATTTTGTGACTCAATTATATATATTTTAAAGTGATTCCATAATTATTTGACAGCTACACATATGTTTGCCGTTTATTTTATTCATTTTCAGCTTATTTTGTTATATTATTTTAATTAATATTATTTAACATTATTTTAATTTAATTTTTAAAACTTTAATTTGCAAGTAAATACATTATTTGAAATATTTAAAATGAAAAACACAATTCAATTATTAAAATTGATAATTAGTATAAAACAGCTGTTAATTTCTGAGCAATTTTATTAATTTAAATCTAAACATCTAAAGTATTATAAATTAATCTCAAATGTTATACACATTGCATGGATTAATTAATCCAAAAAGAAAACTGTAGTAAAAGTAAATCTTGAGAGGACAAGTTACTCTAGATTTGCCAATCGAAAACAACATAAGTAATCAGTTCTAATTACTTTTCTGAAAAACTTAGCTGTAAAAATAATATAAATTACTTGATTTATAACTTAAATGTGTAATATTAAGAATAAAATACACCTTATAAAAAATAGTAACAGCCATGGTTTAAACAATAATAACACTTCCATATCTAAGAAGGTTTGTTATCTCAATTTATATTTGTGTTATTAATTTTGGAAAATTACTTTTACTAGAAACCTAATAAATTTACCATATGAACGGTAATAGTAAGCGTCACATATTTGTTAATAACTAATTCCAGAATTTAAATTCTATCAATACATATCAAGTACATGTATTTCGTTATTACAGGTACTTTACAGTCTTACCAAGTTACTCGATTAACAATTTTGTTACTCGAAATTTAGAATACTATTATTGTATTTAATTATACAACTACTAAAAAATGTCTTATAGCGTTTTGGATTGGTAAATCTGGATTCAAATTAGATTTACTCTAGAACTGTCAAATATTATTGCCCAATAAAATATTTTAAGAGTGATCAAACATTTTTATAGTAATGTTAGTAGATATTTTTATTTTTAATAAATAGATATATCGAATGAAATCCCACTTTATTTGTTAAGTCATATAAAACAGCTGTTAATTTCATGGTAATCTTGCTACTTGGTAAAATATCTAGAGTATTATAAATTAATCTCATATGTTATAAAACAATCTCGGTTGATAAATTTACCCCTCATTTACCAATCGGAAACGGCATTCTTATATTTATTTATTTTAATTTTTTTTATTACTTTTATTTATTTATATTATTTTTTTTATTTATATTATATTTATTTATTTATATTATTTTTATTTATTTATATCATTTTTTTTTATTTATTTATATTATTTTTTTTATTTATTTATATTATTTTTTTTTATATTGTTATATTATTTATTTTATTTATTTTTTTTCTTTTATTTATTTATTTTTCTTTTTATTTATTTTTTTTTCCTTTTTTTATTGAATTTTTTTTTTGTTTACTGAGGGCTACTGAGGAATTCTGTTAAAACGTTTACGTACTTTACATCAATTTAAATATTTCCCCCACACGCGTGAAGTAGTTTAACAAAAATGTGTAAAACTTGTGAATTGTAGTTTTCCCACTTCGTGTGACCCGCATTCATAAAGCTCACATTAATTTAAAGACCTTTAAGCACACTTAAACTGACGTAAACAATTGTCTTTAATAAAAACCAACACTTCACTAATTTTCTAGTACTTCTCCTTTTGTATTGACCCACAAATTATGTTTAACAATATTTTTAAGTTATATCTTCACGTATAACAAATGTGAGTAGTAGAACAAATTGAAGAAAATATACGAAAGATCAAAAACCAGAAATGAAATAAAATTTTATTTTAAATTATAATAATGAAGGTTTCTTCGTCTGTCTTCAATGAATTCCAAAACTTTGTATGTCAAGTATTTTCAAAACGCTTTTAAGTGTTTCCGACATTTTGTCTTTTTATTTTAAATTCTAATTTAGTTTGTTTCAAAACAATAAGTAAAATTCGAGATGCTGCAATCTCAGAATATGAGTTTGTCAAATATGTACCTGGCGATATATACTGAGGTATAGAAAAGTCATATAAAGGACAAGCAGCTTAACGCACCCCAAAAACGAATTTGCTACTCGGGATCAAACCCTCAAATTTAAGGAAAAAGGTTCTACTAAGCACTCTAAATACCTCCAATCAAAAATATTTCGATATATTATCTTGCTCCATGGCATGAATCAAACTATTTCATTTAACAGGACTTAAAAAATCTCTTTCTATAAAAAACAGATATTAATCCAGATCTAGATTGACTATCTGCACATCCGAATGAGCTAGTTTTAAACCTAAGCAAACCGCGCTGCATTAAAGGTTAACTAAAGACGTTTCGGCTTTTGAGCCTTTGGTAGATAGAGCGTAAATATAATATAAAAATTTAAATAATTTTTATTAATAATTATTGTTATTATTGTTATCATTATTATTATTTATAATCATTATTATTATAAAAATGGCTTAAGGTATTATTTTATTTATTAACAATTTTATTTATTATTGCACAACACATATTTATTATTTTGATTTATTTATTAATCAATTAAGATGAAAATTTATTTTTGTTTTTAATTATTTTGATTTGTTATTATTGCTTCGATTTAATATTAATAATTTTATTATACAATAAAAATGTCTAGTTTTAGTTAAAAAATTTCTCTATTTTATGTTTAATTTTTAGTTTAAAATTAATTAATATTTAAAATTTGTATATTTTATACTCAAAAAGTAAACACGTGACTAAAAAATTTACTAAGTAGTCAAAATATTGATAATGTCAATTCTTATCTAAATCCGCGAGTCTAGATTTAAAGGTCATTAATTTTATTCCAGTCAAATCAAATCATAAATTATAGAAGATTGCTGTCTAGTGTCTAATATTATTGTTGACTAAGTCTTGAAATATGATTATTATTTATAGCTTTGTATAAGTTATTAAACTACTAAGAATGCGAAGACTTTAAATTTGCAAATTGTAAACACAGAAATAAATTTACTTATTTTATTGATAAAGATTTATACATATATAATAGAAAGTATATAAAAAAAATTATAGTTCATTTCTTACATATATTTAACTATGTGTCACTACGAACCGTAAGGAATATTAGTAACACTCAGTTCCAATTGGTTTAATATAGCATAGCTATATTTTTCTTAATCTAGTTCAATAGCAGAGAAGTTATGTTTTATTACTAGAATAAAAACTAAATTTAAATAATTGCTGTATGTCAAGCAATTATTGGCAGGAATATCCGATGTAAACAAAACTCTATGTGTGACACTAGCATTGCTAGGCAATGTGCTTGAGATGTCTATCTCTGTGCTTTACATTGAGAGATCTATTATGAAGTTAGGATACGTAGAACTGAGACCCCGTCATACTTATTTCTATGGAATGTTTGCTTAACATGGAGAGAGACTACATAGCAGTATTGCCGATGTGCGAGCGCAGATCTTATTTCTTAACTTCAACAAAGTTTATATAAATTTACGTATATATATATGTATAATTTTATGAATGAATACTTTAATTAAACTCACTCTGCTTATCTGCAAATGATAATTCTGTTTTGTTTTATCAAAATTTCATACATTCTTTAAATTTAAGACTTAAGATTAAAACTGAGATTTCTTATCAGATAATCG